GTTCAAGGCGAGGACTTTAGCCGCTAGGCCACGGCGCCAGACCCCCATTCCCTCACTTTTAAAAACAATTTTTAAAAATCATTTTATTTGAAAGGAAGCATTACGGAGAGGAGCGGGGTATCTTCCATCTGCTAGTTCAGTCTCCAAAGGGCCACAATGGCCAAGGCTGAGCTCATCAGAAGCCAAGAGCTTCCTCTGGGTTTGCCACGTGGTTGCAGAGTCCCAAGGACTCGAACAATTCTCTACTGTCTTCCCAGGTCCTTTGCAGGGAGCTGATACATAAGTGAAGCAGCCAGGAATTCAAAACAGTATGGGAAAAGATGCCAACCTTTCTGTAGCCATTAAGATGATTTACTCGGGGCCTGGTGTGATGGCTCAGTGTCTCGTCCTCACTTGGCATGTGCCAGGATCCCACATGGGCACGGATTGTGTCCCAGCTGCTCTGCTTTCCTGCTTGTGGCCTGGGAAAGCAGCAGAGGATTGCCCAAAGCTCTGGGACCCTGCACAAGTGTGGGAGACCTAGAATAAGCTCCTGGCTTTGGATCGGCTCAGCCTTGGCCACTGTGACTACTTGGGGAGTGAATCAGCAGACAAGATCTTTCTCTTCTGTGTCTCCTTCTCTCTGTAAATTTGACTTTCTAATAAAAATAAATCTAAGAAAAAAAATGAATTGCTTCAATATGTAGTTACTGGTGACTGGCATGGTGGTATAGCAGGCTAAGCCTTTGCCTGCAGCACTGCATCCCCTGTGGGTGCTGGTTCATGTCTTGGCTGCTCCACATCTGATCTCCTGCTCCGCTTTGGGCCTGGGAAAGCAGAGAGGATGGTCTAAGTCCCTGGAATCATACACCCAGCTGGAAGCCCAGTGGAAGCTCCTGGCTCCCCACTTTGGATCGGCCCAATTCTGGCTGTTGCAACCATTTGGGAAGGGAGCCAGCATATGCAAGATCTTTTGTGTCTCCTCCTCTCTGTAGCTTTGCTTTTCCAATATATATATATTTTAATATATGAGGGTACTTTCTATTTGCTCTAATACCTCGTAGCCCAGCTGTCATCTTGCAACTGGATGTCATAATTTTTAAGTTGGCCAAAGCTACCAAATCATTCCCTCTCCTGAGAAACTCCTCTGGCCTAGACTCTGCTGCAGTTGTTTCAAATTTAGATTAGTTTGTGATTTTTTTTGGAGGGGGGACAGTGTCTTCCATATATTGTTTAAATATCTTAGATCAAATGGTAGGATGAAAGGTCAAACTTTCAGAGTTTGCAGCGTGTCTTTTCTTGCTTGCTTTTGGAGTGTGAGCCCTGGGATGCACGCGCTGTGTGGGTCAGGACTTGCCAAGGCCTTCACAGTCTTCTGAAATGGAATAAAGCCTAGATAAATGTGGGTGCTCCTTTTTTTTTTTTTATTTTGTTTTGAAGTAGCCATTTTAAATTAAATGCACTGACCCTTTGAGATATCATATATAACCATAGAAAAAGTAAAACTAATAGGCTATTGGAATTCTCAAATGAGAAGTACATACCACTTAAACAAATGGAGCCAGACTAATTTGGAGGCACATTTTACAACTCAAAGCTACCATTTAGGAGGGGGAAAGAGAAAATAAAGCCCACTTACTAACTACTAGAACCAGCACGGGGTCTCTCCCCACAAACCTGGGGCTTTTTGCTGCAGTAGAATTTTGGTTTCTGTTCTATTATTTGCTACACTCTAAGGGAACTGCAGGCAAGAAAAATATGCAGAGAAAGCAATCAATGTATTTAAAAGTTCTCACCCAAACTGAGTTGACATAAAAAATAATGCAGGCAGATATAATATCTGATTTCCAAATAATTCCCCATGCAAGAAAATACTTACAAACACTTGGCTTTGGTCAGGCCTAGCCCTGGTCATTGCAGCCATTTGGGAAGTGAACCAATGGATATATTTATCTCCTCCTCTTCCTAATTCTGCCTTTCAGTTGAGCAAGGATAGCTTAAAAAGAGAAATGATGGTGCAGCAGGTGAAGCTGCTGTTTGGGAGACCTGTATCAATACTGGGGTGCTGCTGGTCCAGCTACCTGCTTAAAGCACCTCGGGAGGCAGCAGACGGTGGCTCAAGTGCCGGGGTCCGGCACCGTCAGCCTGGCCCAGCCCTGACAATGTCTGGCATTCGGAAAAGGGAACCAGTTTGGATGGAAGATCTCTGTCATTCTTTCAATTAAGTGAATTAAAAAAAAAGATTACTTTTATTGCAAAGTCAAATTTATGGAAAGGAGATACAGAAAAACCTTCCGTCCTCTGGTTCAATCCCCAAAGGGCTTGCAGCAGCTTCTTCTGAGTCTCCCTTGTGGGTGTAGGGTCTCAAGGCTTTGGGCCATTTTTCCCAGGCCACAGGCAGGGAGCTGGATGGGAAGTGGAGCAGCTGGGATTCGAACCGGCGCCCATATGGAACCATGCCATTTGGTTTAACCACTGAGCCTTCGCAATGGGTCCCAAGTAAATAAACTTTTAACACTAGTGACAGTCCCTTAACGGTGGAATAGCAATGTGGACACATATCTCCTTTTGAGGAAAATGTTTTCCTCTGAAATTCATATTATTTCTCAACTCACAGAGCTGAGATGGCATTCAACTTGTGCCAAGATAAAAGCATTATTTTTTTTTTTCAAACAGAATTGTCTCCCCCCCCCCCCGCCCCCGGAAAGGCAGATTTACAGAGAAGGAACGACAGAGAAAAATAACTTGTGTCCGCTGGTTCATTCCCTAAGTGGTCACAATGCCTGAAGCTGTGGTGATCCGAAGCTGGAAGCCACGCAGGGGCAGGATCCCAAGACCTTGGGTGGTCCTTGACTGCTTTCCCAGGTCACAGGCAGGGAGCTGGATGGGAAGTGGGGCCAGGACATGGACAGGTGAGGGCCACTGAGCCATCGCACCAGCCCCAGGTCATATGCTTTCACATCCACATAAGTGACAGCAAGAATATCAAGAAAGTTGGGGGAATGGCACGTCTTTTAAGCCTTTCACTCCTTCCTACAACAAGGTTCTAAATAATGTTTATTTTGCTACTTCCATTGGGTGTGTGGAAAGAGAATTTCAATGTTGGTCTTTGGTCCAAATCCCATTTAAGCAAAGTTTCAGTTCTGGTGCTTGACAGGAAAGTAGAAAAAGTTTCCTACTATGAAGGAAACAGAACCAACTACTCTTGTCTTCTTCCCAAAATACCCTACCAAGTTTTGCTGATAGAGAACTCCGACAGAATCTGCTTGTATTCCTTGGGACAAAGAAAAGTCTAAGAGGGTGAAGGAAAAAAATGTGCTGTCAGGGTAACAGACCTAGGTGACACTTTGTGAAGTGCTTCGCAGTTACGAAACAGTTTTACTTATATGATCTCTTGGGGGCTGAACTACTTGTGAGGCAAACAAGGAAAGTATATGCTATCCTCACTTTATAAAAGGATCACCAGACCCAGGTTCACAGCCTGCTTGAAGGATGGGTCACTGGTTTTGCTGGCACTGAAAGCTGACTTCCAGTCCAGTGCTTTTTCTGCCCTTGCTAAGGGAACAGATGCTGCAGGGAGGGAGGGCTTCGTGCTTTTCCAGCTTGTGTCAGCAAACATTCCCTTCTCTCTGTCCTTTCATTCAAGGGAGAAGTAATGGGTTCTTAATTCAAGACCAAGGGCTGCAAGGAGCCCATTAACAACATATTGGGGTCTAAATACACAAACATTCTAAAAGGGATGTTTGGTAACAGCACGTTCAAGGTCAAGTCTTCCGAAGGAAAAGCATTTCAGTGCTTGTTTTTCATGAACAGAAAGGAACTTTCCTGTGGGCTGGTGCTCTTGTGGGACAACTCCAGAAAAGTCAAGGCGGCACTCTGAGGTTTTGTTAATCAGTTTAATATATGTCCATAGGTAGGTTCATATGAATGCTTAAGTTACAAAATTAGCTGCCATGGTCCAAATGTGTGGGACTTTTAAGAAAGCTTATATTACTCAAAAGATAGCAAAGCATATCATCTTTGATTTCTAAAATGTATCTTAAAGATTTGTAAAACAAGGCTAATTCTAGAATCATATATAGCATTAAAGAAATTAAATTTTGTAATTTTAATAACTTACTTTCATGAACTGTTAAAAATATTACATTCTTCATCTCCCGATTTACATAGTCCTGTATTGACCTAGACAAAGACCAGTGTGAAATGCCCATGCAGTCACAAAGACAGCGTCCATGCTGTTCTCACAGCAGTTTGTTGTGACTGCCTCAGGAACAGACCTGCACGGCTGCACGTAAAGCATAGAGCGAAAATACCCGCCACCCCATTCCCCTCAAAAAGCCCAACCCAGTCCAATACCTGGCAAAAATCACCGGGTACAAGTGTGACTTTAAGAAATGCTTTCTTAATAGGAAGCATTTATAAAATGCACAGGTCTGCACAGTGCTTGTGCAGATAGATGGGCCTCTCCCCAGAGTTTCTTCCCAAAGAAGCAGAACTCTCAATAGTTTAGGAAAGCTATGTTTTAAAAGTGTCTCTAATGCACATCCATGGCTATTTCTTTGCAAGAACATGCCCGGCCTCAGCTGTGGGAGAGCTCAAAGCAGAGGGAGAAGCAAAAATACACACCATCGCAGAGGACGGGGCTTCTCCAGCAACGTCCAATAGGTTGCAGCGACAGACAAACTTGGTACTTCACACGGACCAATGACCTGATAGCTCATCTCAGGTGAATTACTTAATTTTCATGCACTTGTTGAGTAAAAGAAAACATACAACCACTTCAGACACAGCATTCACATTGTCATTAGCTCATGGCATCAGGGAAGGAGAAAATAATCCTAGAATTTTTCCATGTATATTTCGGTATCCTAAAACCTACAGATTTTCTATAATACTGTTATCAGCACTTCCCACCCACAAAAACATTTATTGCCTTATGTTTTGAATCTCTGAAATTTCATTACTGCACATATTTAGTGTTCTGTATTTTACTTTTTTCACAAGTTTAATGTAGACGCAGAAAAAAACACCAAGCAATGTTTATTGTGCAATTCTGGTAGTTAATTGTGAAATTGTGGTTTAGAGTTAATCTTCATTTCTATTTCAGTTGCCTTATTTATATAGAAGCAACAACCTAATTATCCACGAAATTTCATAATATTTCTTCAAATATCAGAGTACCCAAAGCACTGATGATTCATGTTACAATTTTAAAAACGTGTTAGAACCACAGATTTCAAATGTTATTCCTTTTATAAAATAATCAAAACAATTTGATTATCTGAAAGGAAATTATTGAAACAGCCCTTTTGATGACTCTACCATCTCAGTAAATCTCTAAGCCTGAAGCATGATGAAGTCAGGATGTCTAGCTGCTGGGAACAGCTGCCCTCAAGGTGAGCAGTGGACTGGCATCTTCGTGTCCCAGCAAGCCAGAGCTTCCACACGGCACAGGACTCATCTCTACATGGCTTTCACTTTGATTTGCTTCATCTTCATCTGCTTCTTCTCCAGTTTCTTTTGCTCACGCCTCAAGGCGGCTTCCTAGAGATGGGGGGGGAGGGGAGAAAAGAGAATCTAAGTTTTAAGTGTACATTTAACAGATCAAAGCCAGAGAAGTGCCTGTGTAAATAAATAACACTCTAGAAGATACTTATAATAAAAGTAACCACTATTAGTTATGCTAGTAGATGAAAATTAACTTGTAATGAGGCAAAAGGAAATAAAAACTGAGTTCTAGCTACTTCATTTCTGGTTCTTTCCTTGCTGATATGCCCGTGAAGCAGCAGATGATGGCCCAAACACTTGGGTTCCTGCCTCCTATGTCAAAGACACAGGTGGAATTCCTGGCTTCCGGCATCGGGGTGTCCCAGCCCTTGCAGTTGTAAGCATTTGGGGAGTAAATCAGCAGATGGAAGAGTTCTTTCTTTCTGTCGCTCTTTCAAATAAAAATTAATTAACTGGAAGGAATCCTGTTATTCACTTTAAATCTCCTTCTGGCACAGACAGCTCATCTGAACACAATACTTCAATTCATAGTTTTCAACTGCGAATTTATACTTAGCAGTCGGGAGGCTGTGAATCCAAGACGAAGAAGCTTCAGGCCATTATTACCTGTACCGAAGAGAGCCTTAGAGGCCAGGTCAAATCAGGACTTCACTGTTGGTCGTTAGTGGTCACATACACTTAACGCTTATACTTTAACTACAATCACAAATGTCACATTTTTAGGCAATTGTGGAAATGTCCGATTCTGAGTTTGGATTCTCCAACTCTGGTAGTGCTGCTGCCTCCTGTGAGGGCTCAGGAGCAAGCAAGCACTCGGAGGACACCTTTCATCAAGCGATCTTATTCTGGGGCAGCTATATAAAATAGTCAATGTTCCAATGTCATCTCCCCACCTCCCCAATCATTACTTCATGATATTCATTCTTTCCTTCGTACTATTCATATTGACTCTCCATATCATGTTACAAATGAGTAAAACTACACAGAACATAGGGCTATTGCTGAGAAATATATTTACATATTTAATACATGTATTTATGTTAACATATTCAAGGAATAGATTTACGTATGGCACTCCACATAAAAAATGTTCACTGTTGATAATTTAAAAATGTAAAAATATGAAAATGCAGGACCTAGAACTCCATGCAGGTTCCCACACTTGGGTGGCAGCGGCCCAAGTACTTGGGACACCATCTGCTACTTTCCCAAGCACATCAGCAGGGACTTGAGTGCGTACTTGTATATGGGATTCCCATGTTGCAAGTGGTGCATTAACCGGCTGTGCCACAATACGGATCCTGTTTTCTTCTTCTTCTTCTTTTTTAACCAATATTAACAAGATAGATTACAATTTTACAACTGGGGTATGTCTTTAGTGCAGTGGCTAAACACCACGGATACCAGGGACATCTGCAGGCCATGTGAGAGTGCCTCAGTTGGAGTCCCGGCTCCACTGTTATTCCAGTTCCTGGCTAACGCGCATCTTGGAGGCAGCAGGGGAAAGCCCAAGGACGAGGGTCCTGTCCCTCACACCAGAGACCTGCACGGGGCTCCTGCATCCCGGCTTTAGCTTGGCCCAGCCCTGGTGGCTGTAACCGATGGGGGAGTGAATTGGCAGATACAAAGTCACTTTCTCTGTCTCTCCCTCTCTGATATTTTGCCCTTCAATAAATACATTTTTTTAATCTAGAGGTAGATTTAAAAACTTTTTTAATTGGAAAGTCAGATTTACACAGAGAAGAAGAGACAGAGAAAGATCTCTGTCTTCCGGTTCACTCCCCAAGCAGCTGCAACGGCCAGAGCTGAGCGTATCCCAAGTCAGGAGCCCGGATTTCTTCTGGGTCTCCAAGCACTTGGGTCATCCTCCTGTTTTCCCAGGCAACAAGCAGGAAGCTGGATGGGAAGCAGAGTAGCCACAGCATAAACTAGCACTGACATGGGATTCTGGCACTTGTAGGGGGAAGATTAGCAAGTTGAACCACTGTCCAGATACCTAGATTTTTTTAAAAAAAGATTTATTTATTTTTATTGGAAAGTCAGATTTACACAGAGAAGAAGAGACAGAGAAAGATCTCTGTCCTCTGGTTCACTCCCCAAGTGGCCGCAATGACCAGAGTTGAGCTGATCCAAAGCCAGGAGCCAGGAGCTTCTTCCAGGCCTCCCATGCGAGTGCAGGGTCCAAGGCTTTGGTCAATCCTCAACTGCTTTCCAGGCCACAAGCAGGGAGCTGGGATGGGAAGTAGAGCAGCTGGGATATGAATCAGCACCCATACAGGATCCTGGCATATACAAGGTTAGGACGTTAGCCACTAGGCCACTGTGCTGGGCCCCAGATATCCAAATCTTAAAAAAAAAAATGTTCTTAGAGCTGGATTATGGAAGCCTAGTTCATAAAAATATCAAAACATGCTGAAATTTGGGACATAACTAAAGCCTAAAATGTTCCTATGCTGGGCCTGCTGCGGTAGCGTAGTGTCTAATGGCCTTGCTTTGAATGTATAGGATCCAATATGCGTTCTAATCCCGGCAGCTCCACTTCCCATCCAGCTTCCTGCCTGTGGCCTGGGAACGCAGTCAAGGACAGCCTAAAGCCTTGGGACCCTGCACCCATGTGGGAGACCTGGAAGAAGCTCCTGGCTCCTGGCTTTCGACTGCTCAGCTCCAGCCGTTGAGGCCGCTTGGGGAGTGAATCAACGGACGGAAGATCTTCCTCTCTGTCTCTCCTACTCTCTGTATATCGCCCTTTCCAATTAAAAAAAAAAATCCTAATAAAGAAAAAGAAATTATAGCTATGCAAAAAAGAAAAAACAGCAGCAAAATACTTTGCTTCTTTAGTTCTATAACAACATTTTAGATTCCATCTATCAGGCTTATTTATTAGATCATAAGGCACATGTGCTGATACTACTAAAATTCCTAATATATAAGAAATTTGGCTTGAAAGATGAAAGGGAACTTTCAAAATCAGATTGTACTGGGGGCACAGGGCAACTCAGATCATCTCCTAGGTTCAAACTCCATATAGCACGGTTTAAACAGAAAGGATTGTAATAATAATCTCTGCAGTGCCATCAACTGGCAAAATGTCCTAAATGCCGAGAAGGTGCCACAGTTTTCGCCTATAAATGTTGCTACGGAATTACCTTAGCCACCAGCATGGCACAAACGGGCATCCCGCTAGGTTTCAGCTTTCCCCAGGGGAAGGGGCTCTGGCCTCACCTCTAGCCTGCGCTGTTTCTCGGGGTCTTCCTCGTTCATGATGCGCTCCTTCTCAGCTCTCTTCTTCTCTTCCCGTCGAGACTGTGCGGCTTCCTGTCTCTGCACGTGAGTCAGCTTCAAGAAGTTCTCCTCCACACGGGCACGGTTCTTATCGGCTTTTTGTTTGCCCTTTCCCCAAGACACAAAGTCTTCCATGAGAAATCCACTTTTATCCAACAGAGGCAAATTCCCATTTAGCATGCTTTCATAAGACGACTCAAATATTCAATCACTGACCACTGACAGCCCACCTCCCACAAGGCAAAAAATCCAACCAACCAATAAGAGGCACCAATTTCTAATTAAGGCTTTGGGGCTTACTTCTCTGTTGAGTCGGAACTTTTTAGCTTTGTCAATAGAATAAATCACCATGTTCATCAGGGGCAGCAAAGCCTCCATGTCCTTTGGGTACGTGTTACCTGAGCCAGGCACTGGAAAACAAAGCCATTTTCCTACTGAGTTAATGGCAGCATTAATACTTCTATGTCACTCAACTGTAGTTTGTTAACAAAATATTGTTTGTTTTTTTTTTTTAACGAGTTTCTTAGGTAGTTAAAATGCAGCAGAAAATAGAAATCTAAGGAAGCTGGCATTCTTGTACAGCAGGTGCACCTGCCACCGATGACAGCAGCATCCCACATCATACCTCCCATTTGAGACCCTCTGCTCTGCTGTCCATCAAGCTTCCAACTAATGAATGTAGAAAAACCGAGGAAGAAGGCTTACATTATATTGGACCCTGCTACATGGAAATGGGGAAGACATGTTATGACTATTTGGAGAGGGAACCAGCAGATGAAAGACTGCCTCTTTCTGCCTTTCAAATAAATATGTAAATAAATCTTAAACTAACAGCAATGGGCCGCAGAGGACACTTACCATTAAATGTAAACAGGAGTGTCCTCTTGGTGTCAGGAAGTTTCAACGGCTGACCTTCCCTGTCATAAGAGAGCAGGCTCATAAGAAGGGACACAAGAAAGACAGCTTCCATGCACACAAACCACAGAGTTCTCTCAGATGAACAAACACCTGCAAATAACCAGGATGGTATTGTCTTGGCATCCCCATGACACATATGATCTGAGGCCAACGGAAGTACACAGGCTATCTGGTCCACTTCTCTATCAGATAGACGGGTGCTTTCCTAAGTGACCTTTATCCTGTTGTTGAACATTTCCCATGTTGTCCCCTGCAGGTGAGGCATACACCATTTCACCTGGTTAGCCAAAAATGAACCTAAATTTAAAAATAAGGCTCATAATTAATAATGCGCTTTGCTTATTTTAATAGAACTTTGTTTCATTTCCAACTCTTATCTATTAAAACATCTGATCTTTGACTTCAGACTCAGAACAAACTTGGAGGTAATCCACTATGACATATGTAACTTGGTCCTGTCGCTGAAGATTGCCTGTGTAACCTTTGACCGGCAGCTGCCCTTCCTGCAACACAAAAGGCTCTAGAAATGTTCTGATTCTCCTCTGGTGCTACCAGGGTTAGCAAGGCAAGAAAGATGCAATGCTATACCCAGGCAGAGGGACACAGGCTGAGTCATCTCGACACACAACTAAGATCCAGACTGGCTTTTAGAAAGAAAAGGAGAGCGACAGTAAGACAGACCTTCTATCTACTAGTTCACCACTTAAATATCCACAACAGTCGGGCCCAGGGCCAGGCCAAAACCAGGCCTTTGAGAACATTATTCAGGTCTCCCACATGGGTCGCAAGGACCCAAACACTCGAGTTTCTGAGCTCTGCTTCCTGCAGTGTGTTTTGCCAGGAAGCTGGAATGACGAGAGGAGTTGGGCCTTCCCTCATGTGCTATGATACAGGATGCAGCCAGTGCAGGCAGAGCCTTGGCCACCGCACCAAATGCTTGCCCCTAGACTGACTTTGAATGTCAACTCTACAGTCCATGAGAAGGTAATCTTTGATTAAAATTTAGTTCAAGCAAATTCTACCCTAAGGATAAACAGTAATTATGCTCTCTTCAACGAGAGCCACGCCAGGAGAAGGTGATGAAGATGCCTGCATCCCATGTCGGAGCGCCTCAGTTCAGTGACTGGCTCGAGCGTCATGCTCCTCCAGACACTGGGAGGCAGCAGGAGACGGCTCCAGTGCTTAGATCCCTGCCATCACCTGGGAGACCCAAACGGACCTCCTGGCTCCTGGCTTTGACCTAGCCCAGTCCTGACTGGTGCAGGCATTTGGAGAGTAAATTAGTAGATGGAAGATCTTGCTTCAACTGTCTGTCTCACTCCTTTTCAAATACAACAAAAATAGATGGAAAAGATTCACAAAGAAGCATTAAAAATGATATAACAGATTTGAAATAAAACATGGCAGACCAATTAAGAGCAAATAAAGTAACAAAAGAACCTAATCTGCAAAGGAAACAGGGACTAGCACTTGCGTGTTTCACAGCACCAGCCTTACCCTGTTCTGCAGACGAGGGGAAGGTGGGCTCAGTCTGCCCCTCTTGTGTTTTCAGTGACCATTCATGATATTCACAGTCAAAACAGAGGAAAACTCACACGTCCATCAGCAACCCCCTACCCCCATCTGGGAAGGGGAATTACATGAACACAAGAAGCCAGCAAGGAAAACTAATTTGAATAGTGTTATCTCATACTTACTCTTGCATAATTTTTGGACCAGAGAACTGGTCTGAAAAATGAACGGATTCAATCTTGTCAGCATAATGTGTAAGGAAATGAACCATCTGGAAAAAAAAAATTCTGTTTAAAGTTTCACGCATTTCTTCGTTTTCATAATATTCATCCTCCATGCTCTATTTCTGCACATCATGAAAACTTTTAAGAATTAAATTTAAATAAAGATTCAAAATGAAATTAATGCCCTTCTTAGTTATACCTATGATTAAATTCCTTATTGACCAGCAGAAAATATGAGCGATCCTGTAGTTTGCCGATATTGAGATGTGTCATTACCATTACACAGCCAATGAAGAGAAATGGCTCTGCACATCTCCCTCCACTCACTGAAGGTCGAAACTGTGCAGTGCGCGATGTAATGAAAAGAATTACTCCTTTCCCAAAAAACCCCAGTCTCTGGCAGCACCAGGAACAACTTCTCTTGATCTAGAGCACGACTTAACTGATCAAACTGTGCTTCTCTGACAAGTCCATCTACTGCTTAAAGAAGGTGTTTTAGTATTCGTGTGGGAAAGGCGTACGTAACAGTGCACTGCCATAAAAAGGAGACTTGTGCAGTGTTGCTGTCAGGGCCAAGGTCCAGGAAATGGATGCAGGCTAGCCAGGTACCTTTGTGTCCATCATGCCCTCTGTAACTTCTCCCATCTCTGACAAGATGGCCAAAGAATCCGGCAGTCCATACTTGGCTCCAGACTTAGGTTTATCGCTACAAAACTCACTCTGGAAGAGAAATAATTGGAACATTTCATTAGGCACATACTTTGTTCTTGCCGAGCAAGTCACGTTCTGACTTACTTCACACCGTAATGTGGTTAACTACCCCAGCCTGTAGAGCTGAACATCTACATAGTGAAGAGGCAATGTTTCTGCATATATTTGAGTTGAAACTACTAGACATACCAGATCCTGCATCTCTTTCTGTAGTCGTACCAAAGCTTTCCGTGTGCCAACAGCAAACACATAGGTATCCATGTCTTCATCATTCATGGTTACTTTTATTTGCTTAAAAAAACAAAAAGAAAGAAAAAAAACTCACTTATTAGTTTCTGTGGCAGGAAGATTTCGGAATGGCCCATAGAAGTTCCCCCCTTGGGGCCTGTAATGATGCTGCAGACATGCCAGCACTCCAGGAATGCTGGTGTCAGTCCAGTCCTGGCTGCTCTAAGTGGATCCAGCTCACTGTTCATGTTTCTGGAAGACAGCAGAAGATGGCCCAGGTACTTGGGCCTCTGACATCTATGTGGGACACCTGGACTGAGTTCCAGGTTCCTGACTCAGCCTAGGTCACTGCGGCCAATTAAAGTTTACATCCTGCGTTGGCTGGCCGTTTCCCATTCCCGAGTACTGAGGTGGTTGGGAGGTTGAGTGAGGCTTCTCCTCTTATCTCCTCCCTTCCTCCAGATAAGGAAGAAGAAAAAGAAAATGTGGAAATAATGGTCTCACCCACTTTCCCCTAACCTTTAACCTTCCCAGCCTAATTAACTATGTAAACAGTATAAAAAATAATATGATAAATAAATCCTTTTTACTTCCTTTGCTTTATATTGTATCCCCTTGAGGTTACTGTGGAGTTATACGGCAGAAAGTCTGTAATCAGCCTTTCCCGAAAGGCCCGCTTAATGGGGAAAATGGCCCAAAGCTTTGATATTGATTAATGTTAGCGGAAGCTTCCTTCCTAATAGTCCCCCTCAAGAATTTTTTTCCTCAGATCTACTTACTTTTACTGGAAAGGCAGATTTACAGACAGAAGGGACAGAGAAAATGATCTTCCATCTGTTGGTTCATTCCCAGAATGGCTGCAATGGCTGGAGCTGAGCCAATGTGAAGCTAGCAGCCAGGAGCTTCTTCCAGATCTCCCACATGGGTGCAGGGTACCAAGGACTTGGACCATCCTCTACTGCTTTCCCAAGCAATACGCAGAGAGCTGGATGGGAAGTGGAGCAGACAGGATGAGAACTGGTAACCATATGGGATGCTGGTGCTTGTTGAGCCATGACACTGGTCCCAAGGTATTTTATATTTCAAAAAGGAGAATGACAGTTCCCATCTGCTGTTTTTTTCCCAATGCCTACAATGGCCAGAGTTGGGCTAGGACAAAGCTGGAGCTGTGAAAGCAATTCAGCTCTAACATATGGGTGGGAAGAACTTAATTATTTGCATAACAGGAACCCAATTACTTGAGCCTTCACTGCTGCCTCCCAGGGCCTCTGGCAGAAACAAGTCAGGAGCCAAAGCTGGGCATCAAAATCAAATCCTCAGATGCGGGGCACACACATTGTCGCTGCTAGGCTAAATGCTGCCCCAAATGCTTTTCGCTAAAATCTGGCTAATAAAACCTGTCTAAACACAAGAGGATCATTGTTTGGGATAGGAAACAAGCTGCCAGAAAGTCCAAACATGATCTAGCAGAAAAACTAAGAATTTAGTTTGTGGGCCTAGCATAGTAGCCGGGATCCTATATGGGCACTGGTTTGTATCCTGGCTGCTCCACTCCCCATCCAGCTTCTTGCTTGTGTCGGAGCAAAGCAGTTGAGGATGGTCCAAAGCCTTGCGAACCTGGACTCACATGGGAGACCCGGAAGAAACTCCTGGCTGCTGGCTTCAGATTGGCTCAGCTCTAGCCACTGTGGTCACTTGGGGAGTGAACCAGTGGACAGATCTTTCTCTCTGTAAATCTTTCCAATAAAAGCATAAATAAATGCTTAAAAAAAAAAAAAAGAATTCAGTTTGTACAGAGAAAACCAACAGGAAGGTACATACTACTTGATCACTCATGGGCCTCATCATCCGGGCCAGGACGTTCAGTAAGTCTTGTCTCTTGAGGAACTAAAAAAAAAAATGAGAAAAGGGAGTTAACGCAATTACATTTTCCATTCAGTATAAACAAATCACCTTGGAGGGGACATCAAATACTCTAACATCTATTCTAAAGTACCTGTGTCAATTAGGAGAAACAGAGCCTTTGGGGGCTCATTTTAGGTCAGACACGAGAAGGTAAGACACTGAATTTGGAGGATTAGGAATCACAAGCGGAAGGCATTCTGGGAAGCTACAACTGTCCTCACCCGCAGCTGGATGAGCATGCCCTCGCAGCACACCCGACCAGAACACCACAGGTTGTAGATGTGCTCATTCTCCTGGGTCAGCCTCCCCGTGCTGGTGGCTTCTTTGTTCGTTCCATCATCCCCTAGCAGTGAAAGCAATGAATGGGTGTCACTAAGAATGCTGGGGCGTGACTGCCGCCCCCCTTCTCATCCTGATCCCAGAATGATACAGCTTTAGGAGAGCCATAGTTCACAGGACAAAGATGAAAATAAACAGGCACTACTGTTTTTATTTTTCACAATTCTGTTGTCCAAAAATAAAAAAAGATCAACTTTTGCATTACTTCCATGTTCCTTTCAGTCTAATGACGACCAGCTTAGAGTATGAATCTCTGAGTTGATGCAAAAAGAAACAAAAATCAGTGTAAGCTCTCATGCAGTGAATAGGAAGTACCATTAGTATAAGCTACTCAACATTCCCTTACTGGGTCTCCCATGAGCCAACTTTAATCTCATCTTTTTTCTAACACCAAAATGATAATGGAGACTTAACAAGGGGTTAGCAGGGAGCCGAAGGGGGCTTCTCTGTTTCCAATTTCCTGGTAAGAAAGTCCTCTGAAGTGACAAGAGACAGTGGAGAAAGCGGAGGCTTCGGAAGCAAGCAGACAGCTCCCAAGCATCATGAATGCAATTTAACAGCTCAGACAAGTTATAACCTTTCTGCTCTTCAATTCCACTAAGGAAAAGAGAAACTACCTTCAACTAGAGTATTGTTACAAAGGACAAGGTGTGCAAAGCAGCTGGGCAATAACCATTAGCTTGCCAAGGAGCAGAGCAGGGCACCCATGATCCCCAGGCAAGCCCTAAACCCCAAGGAGAGAAGAATGCAGCCTCCCTCTGCTGCACAATGAGAGACATTCCTCAAAGCGCTTCAGTTCCTCTCACTGGCGGCTGCAAAACTAATGGGCCTGGACCCGAGAGAACTTGAGGGATTCTCAATTTCTAAAAGATGACCAAAACCATTTATCAGCCAATCCAAGACGTCAAGATGTATTGGTTTCAGTCAAAATTTTGTCAAGCTGCCCTGAAAGCACTGTGTATGCCAATTCAATCACAGCTGTTTGGTAACCAATTAATGAAAGATGAATAATACAAATTATTCACTATATAAAACCAGCAAATAGGGATCCCTGGGAGAAAAAGCAGCACATCTTTTCAGCAGCGGATGACAGCAGTTAGAGGTGGACACTGCGGGTTATGAACTGTTCTTACCAGATTGTTTTCAAGTAGAAAGCCGGATTTGCAATGACCTAGCTTACCTACTAAGGTAAAGTTGCTCTCCAAAAGCTCTCTGTGAGTGTTGAACCAGGCCTGAGCCAGGCGACTGTTTTTATTCTTTCCAATGATGTAGTTCATGATATAGGCAAGCAGACCAGTCACCATCAAAATCTCCAGGTAATAACTCTCCCAGCTGTTCTGGAGGTGCGCAGGAACCTGAAGAAGCAAAAGCACGGCTATTGGCTGAGGCTAACGGATGGAGTGGGACTCACGGGATGGAGAACGGGAAAGCCGACAGACAAGTGGTACCTTATGTAACTGTCCCAGAACACGGTTAAACTTGGAAAATTACGCCTGTTTCGGTTTCCTAGGTCAACTTTATAAAAACTATCTAAGAAAATGTAAAGATGATCAGTTGGAAGGAAAGGCTGAGAAACTGTACTAACCATGATTTTGAGTTCTAGCCCAAAACAAATTCAGTGTACATCCTCTTGTTTAATTCCTTGATAGACAAAACAGAGACCTACAATAAAAATAGAGGATTGGATCCAGCGCAGTAGCTTAGCAGCTAAAGTCCTCACCCTGAATGCACCGGGATCCCATATGGGTGCCAGTTCTAATTCTGATGGCCCCCACTTCCCATCCAGCTCCCTGCCTGTGGCCTGGGAAAGCAGTCGAGGCCGGCCCAAAGCCTTGGGACCCTGCACCCATGTGGGAGACCCAGAAGAGGTTCTGGGATCCTAGCTTCAGATGGGTGCAGTTCTGGCCATTGTGGTCGCTTGGGGAGTGAATCAATGGATGGAAGAGCTTCCTCTCTGTCTTTTGCCCTCTCTGTATATCTAACTTTGCAATAAAAATAGATCTTAAAAAAACAAAACAAACAAACAAAAAACTATGTGTTGCTTCTCTAGGTTTGGGTTTTTATCAGAAGAATGCCAAGCCCTTTCCCAGATCCCACTGTTGCGTCACCAGCTGTTCTACATCACCAATTACATTCCTGAGATTAATGTCACCAAGATACTTTGTGGATTAGTTTGGAACTCATAATTCTGTATACCTACATCAACAATTGTTATTGGGTCTTTACTTTTGCTCGAAGTAGTATCTGGCTTGTCTTCATAACCTTCGAATTCTTCATCATCGTATGGCTCGCTCTCGGTATCTCCCTCCTACAAAAATGAAGCACAAGCTGTTTTCTTCTACAAGTGTCACGAGCAGTTCTGTCTCGCCTGGCGGGCTATACTTACAGAGGAAAACGTTAACAGGTAAGCAGCAAGCACAGAACACAGGAATAATAAGATGACCAAAGGGCACACACTTTCTAAGGTCTTGAGATGCAACATGCAGCCTGGCGACCTCAGTGAGTAATGTATTGGACAGGTGAACTCTGCTGGGAGGTACACAAGAGGCAGCCGTCTGAGGGGCGAGTCGCTACGCAGCTTGGTGATGATCACTTTATGTGGCGTGTGTATTTCGACACACCGCATTGTAGCCCTTAAATATAGGCAGTTTTTGTCATTAATATAAACACTACCAAAAATGATGATTCCCCATACTTCTGAGTCCAGACTTCTGAATGACAAAATTCTCACCCACATGTGGCACCCACTCTCTAGATCCACTCCCAGCTGAGAGAAAACCAGTTCATCAAGTGTAAAGGGCAGGCTCACGCCACAAGAGGTCTGGAAGACTTGCTCCATCCACTGAGCAGAAGTGAAGGTTCCAGAGAGGTCTCTCCAGACCTGCGTCTTACTTTAGACATTTTGGGAAAGTGCCAGTCACAGATCCTCCCATCCTTCCGATCCCCCAGGGCATCAATCAAAAGCGACCTCACCTGAGTGTCTGCATCTTCAAAATCTCCTTCTTGGTTTTCATCCTGCCCTTCCAGCTCCACCGTCGTCTCGTCTTCGTCATCCTCGGTCGTCACCACGCGCTGAGGCGAGTCGGTGACGGAGTCCTCCACGACGTCCTCGAACTCAGCAAAGTCGTTATCGTCATACTCCACTATGTCATCCTCGTCCTCGAAGTCGTCAAACTTGGCTCCGGAGACACTCCCGAACACCAGAAGGACAACACACAAAGCATGGAAGGCTTTCATTGCACCTTCAAGACAAGCTTCAAAAGAGAAAAAATGAAAACCAACTCTAAAATGGAGTTACCATGTAGAGTGATCAAACTGCAGAATTAAAAAAAAAAATCTCTCCTACTTTTCTCTTATTCAGTTCAGATAACATTGTATGGAAGCAAACAAACAAAAAGCAAAGTGGGGACCAAAGGCTTGGGATCCAGTCTAGGTTCTGTCATTAGCTACCCGAAAAACCTTGAACATTTTGTTTATTTTCCTTCGGGCACGTCCTCTACAATTTTGTGAACACAATATTCACAAAGGATGAATATTCATAAAGGATCTTTGGTAGCTTTTTGGAGTAAGATGCTACTCATCCTTAACATCACCTTTGTGTGGTCATGCTCACCATAAGGGCAAACAGAAAACAGAGTGCTGGCCACGGTTCTAAATGCTCCACAGACGGCAGCCAAGTTAATGCACCAAGAAAAAAAAAAAAAAGCTTGTTTTCTCTTGCCAACGACCTTGTGAGGAAAGCAGCATCAGCAACCCCCATTGCACTGAATAGGAAAATGAGGCCATCATTTGCGAAGCAGTGTGATCACTAGCCAACAGAGCTGTGATCTCGTTTGACTTTCACTTCAACATGGAAGCCGGTGGCTCCGGTGTGATGGCTCAGTTGGCTAATCTTCTACCAGTAAGCGCCAGAATCCCATTTGGGCGCCAGTTCCTGTCCTGTCTGCTCCACTTCCCTTCCAGCTCCCTGCCTGTGGCCTGGGAGGGCAGTACAGACAGCATCTAGCCTTAGGAGCCTGCACCCACATGGGAGACCCGGAAGAAGCTCCTCTCCTGGTATTCTGAGGCAGGCGACCCAAGAAATGGCTAAGATATGCAGATAAAATAGTACTTAATTGACAGTGGCACGAGTGAAATGGAAAACTCATTATATATATATAAAGTGATTAGAAATCAAAAACACCAGGAAAACGTCTGGATAGCTGGATCAAAAGCAATTATTCTTGCCAGAGACAGGGCAAAAAAGGAGAGGGACTGTGCTGTGACACATGGGATAAGAGCCCACCTGCTGTATTGGCACTCCTTATGTGGGTGCTGAAGAGAGCAGAGGATGGCCCAAGAGCCTGGACACCTGCCACCCAGGACCCCCGGTCGGTACTCCCTCCTGGCCCACACTCTGCTGTTGTGGCCATTCGGGGAGTGAGCCCGTGGATGGAAGGCCCTCTCCCTCTCTTCTCTCTCTGTTATTCTGCATTTCAAATACATAAAGTTCTTTGCCTCATTAGATCCTAGTCTTAAGCTTTTTCAGAGCGAAGCAACAAAAAGTGAATGCGAGTGCAGTCGGTGAGGTGATCAGACCGACACACAAGCTGTTTCTTAGCATGTTCAGCTCACAGAGGCTCCATCAAGGTTATCTGGCCTCGCAGCCTTCCCCCTCCTGGGTCTCCGCTGCTCCTGTCAGCTCCTTTCTCAGAACGCACAGGCTCCGGGAAGCCAGGCAGGGCACAAGCGCTGCCAACAAGTCGGGCCGCTCACCTGCTGCTGCAAGCGAGCTTGGAGACCAAAGGCCTGACGCCAAAGCGGAGCAGTCACTCCCGTGTTGCAATTTCAGATCAGGCCTTCCTAAGGGCGGCCCAAATGTGACATCTACAGGAACTGGGTGGACAAGCCTCTGTGTCATTACCCGGGTTGAATAAAGACACACCGACGTTCGGGGAAGTCAGAGTCTGTCCATGCACTCGCTCGGATTCAGCAACCAATCTGTCCTAACGTCCACCTCCAGATCCTCCCGTCGCGCTCTGCCTACGCCCTTCAGCGGCCTTTGGCCACCGCTCTGCAGGAACGAGCCCCAAGACTTCCTAAAAACGACCCCTGTCCCCTTTCCTCCCCTTCCCATGCGTCCACAGAACGGTGACTATTTCAGCAGGTTGTTTTTAAAACGTAAAAAGACAGGAGACGTCAGGCGGCGCGAGGTGCAATGCCGGTGTCCACCGGCCGCTCACCGCTCGGCCCGGCCCCACCTCGCCAGGCGCCACAGCTCACGACCCACCTGCTTCCGAAGCTACACCCTGGCCCGGCAGCCCCGCGGCCGCCACGTCCGCACCCGCCGACCTCTCGGAGCAGTCGCCGTCCCCACCGTGGCACGGCCGCCAGCGGGACGAGCAGGATCAGTCACGCCGCGCCGCTCTTGACGCAGACTCAGCCGTCCGTTACGTACGAGGCGCGCGGCTCGTGCGCGCCTGCGCGCTGCTCGTCGGGGCGGGACGCAGCTTCGGGGCAGCGCGAGGCCGCCGCCTCCCGCGCAGAGCTCCAGTGAGATGAGACTGCTGGGAAAAATTACATAATCCCCGCCCCTGGGGCCGGAACTCTGGACGCCCATCCCAGCCCTCTCCACTAGGGTTCAGTGACAGCGCCCTGAACCGGTGCTCCGGAAGCAAAAGGTGGCCATGCTGTACGGGACCACGTGGTTACAGCCGTGGAGGAAAAATATTGCCCCATGTCGTTTCCGTTGAATTCTCTTTTCGCTTGCGATTTCTTTTTTTGGGGGGTAGGAGGGCGGTTCTGTGTGTCGCTGCTGTTGCCTTTCGTTTCCGCACACACTTTCTAAGCAAGCCATAGACACTGTTGACCCGGCAGCAGTTTCCTGTCAAAGTTCTGGAGCTTTAAGGAGCGGAGCCGGGCTCCTTCCGGGAACCGTGGTCCGAGGCCCCGCCCTTCGGGCCTCACGCCGTCCACTGCGCATGTCTGGAGTGCGCTTCCCTCTGCTCCCCTCCCCCGTCAGCAACGGGCCGAGAGGCGGCGGCGGCGGCGAAGGGGGCGGAGAAGGAGGAGCGCGGCAGGACCGAGTCCGGCCCGCGCGTACTTCGGTCGGGGGGGATTCTCTGAGCGCCGGCGGTAGTACCAGCTGCCGCTGCAGCCGCAGCAGCCAGGTTGGTGCGAGCGGGGTCGGGGACGCGCGGCTGCTGGCCCTCGGGGGCACTGGAGGCCACCGCGGGGCCTAGCGAGGCACCTGGAACCGCGGCCTCGCTTAACAAAAGAGTCTGCGGCTGTTCGGGCAGCGGGCGTGCGGGCGGCCGGGAGGGAGTGGGAGTGCGGGCGGAGGCCTCGGAAGGGAGCGTGGGATCTGCACCTCCCTCCCACGCTTTTCGGCGAGGCCCAGTTGGCGGCTTTCCGGAGGTGGCGCCTGCTGGGAGAGCGGGGAGGAACGTGCGGGGAGCTGGCCTCCCCGCAGCCAGCTGTCAGTCCCCGAGGCGTCCCGGGAGAGGACTGTGAAAGGCGGAGTGGGCGATCGGGAGGCGTTGCTGGTGAGCGTGACCACGGTCACCCACGGGGCGGTGTGGCCTGCTCTAGGATTAGATGTGGGGACTACCTGATCCAAGAAGCGCACGCGTCCAGTCCCGCACACATGTCAGGGAAAGCCTCGGACGCGTCGGTTTGGGGAGGTCGTTGTCTCCCTCTCGCGCTCCTTGGTCCCCTCCTCTTGAAGATTGTCCTTCAACTTCCTGTGGCTTCTCCAGGTGTTTTTGTGAATAATTTTTTCGGCTCCGTCCTCTTCCTCCCTGCTCCAGATCTACACACACGCTCACTCCCTCCCTCAGGAACTCCTGCTAGGTGTTAATTCTCTTCAAACTTTTCAGAGCCACGCCCAGTCCAGGCACAAAGAAAGTGAGCAGTACACAAAGTCGTTTTCAGGCCTTAAGCCGTGGGAAGAAAGATCTTGTGGTACCTCCAAGGAATGTTAGGCAGTCCTAGTTCCTAGTTCCTGCCAGGACGATTTCCGTCAGCACCTGCTGTGTTCTAGGTGTTCCACGTGCCCCGAGGAGATGCATTTTGGCGCGAGGTCCTTAGGTGGGGGGTGCGGTGGGACAGCTGGTGGATGAGCAGGGACCGCATTACAGACGGGCTGATTTTGTAAGCCGCTGGCCTGCAGGGAAGTGAGGAGCGGGGTGAGGCCTGGATGTCCGTGGGGGATCAAGCTGGCTTGGTAGAGAGGTGAGATCAGGAGGAGAGGGTGACTGGACAGTCCTACCTTTGAGGCGCAGGGAGGGTGTGGCCTTAACCCTCCTACCAAAGGCGAAAGCCTTCTCAGAGCTTTTCAGCGGAGGAGTGATAAGGTCTGGCTTACAGTGTAATAGTTTTAGCAGAATGCTAGAATTCTTTAAGTTTGTATTTCATCACATTGATAGTTATAGCACCAACTCTGTTTCTTTAAGATAACGGGGGATAGATACGCGTCTAAAAATGACCATAACTCAGCAATTACTTATATTTGGCCATAGAAGAGTGTGATGTGATTCCTGAGTTTTAATGCAGGTTATTAAAGCACTGACACAAAGCATATAATTTTTTCAAGAATACTTTTTTTTAAAAGATTTTTTAATTGGAAAATCAGAGTTACAGAGACATATCTTCTGTCTGCTGTTTCATCCCCCTAGGGGCCACAGCGGCCGAAGCTGAGCCTGTCCGAAGCCAGGCGCCAGGAGCTGCTTCCATGTCTCACATCCAGGTGCAGGGTCTCAAGGCCTTGGGTGTCCTCTGCTGCTTGCCCAAGCAGGGAGCTGGATGGGAAGCAGAGCTTCTGGGACATGAACTGGTGCCCATATGGGATCCTGGTGGTTGCAAGGCAAGGATTTAGCCACTAGACTATTGCACCAGACCCAATAATAATTTTTTTGTTTTGTTTAAAGATTTATTTTTCTGTGAAAGGCAGATTTACAGAGAGGAAGAGAGCAGAGAGAATCTTCCATCCACTGGTTCACTCCCCCAAATGGCCACAATGGCTGGAACTGAGCTGATCCAAAGCCTGGGGCCTCTTCTGGGTCTCCTATGAGGGGTATGGGGTCCCAAGGACTCGGAACATCCTCTACTGCTTTCCCAGACCGTGAGCTGGGAGCTGGATCTGAAGTGGAAAAGCTAGGACTCCAAGTGGCACCCCTAGGGAATGCTGGCACTGAAGGCAGAGGTTTACCCTACCTCCGCCAAGGCACAGGCTCTCAGGAGAAATGTTTTCGTTATTAGGTAGAGCAGTTGGTAGTCAGCTGTCATTGTCTTCTCCCAGGTCCACAAATGCAAGTAATGGTGTGGCTTGTAAGATAATGAGTTGTTTTTAGTCTACTGCTGTTCTTTGTCTTCTTTTGGTAATTAAGGAGACAGAGGAAGTAAACTCTGATCTGCCGGTTCACTCCGCAAATGCCTACAAAAGCCAGGTAGGGCTGGGCTGGATGAAAGACAGTGTGAACCCAATTCAGGTCTCTGCTGCCTCTCAGGGTCTCTGTTAGCAGGAAGCCCGAGTCAGGAAGTGAAGCCAAACATGAGTGCAGGCCTGCCTGCCAGGGAGGTAGGCTGCTT